CAAGGAGGGGGGGCAGGAGGGGGGAGGAGGAGGAGGGAAGGAGGAGAGGAGGAGGAGGATGGCTGAGGAGGAGGGAGGAGTATGATGAGGGAAGAGGAGGATGATGATGCCGCTTGATGATGATGATGATGGATGATGATGAGTGATGATGATGATGATGATGATGATGATGATGATGATGATGATGATGATGTTGCTGATGTGATGAGGATGGCAGGAGGAGGAGGAGCGAAGGAGGAGGAGGAGGAGGAGGAGGAGGAGGAGGAGAGGAGGAGGAGGAGGAAGGACGGGGGGGGGGGGGAGGAGGAGGAGCGGGGAGCGGAGAGGAGGAGGAGGAGGAGGGGGAGGAGGGTAGGGGGTAGGGAGGAGGGAAGGAGGGGGGGAGGAGAGGAGGAGGGAGGGGTAGGAGGATAGGGGGATGGAAGGGAGAGGGAGAGGAGGAAAGGAGGAGGAGGAGGAGGAGCGATAGAGGAGGAGGAGAGGGGAGCGGCAGGAGGAGAGGGAGGAGGGGAGGAGCAGCCAGGGAGGGAGAAGGAGGAGGAGGAGGAGGAGGAGGAGGAGGAAGGAGGGAGACAAGAGGAAGAAAGAGGAGAAGGAGGAGGAGAAAGAGGAAGGAAGGAGGAGGAGGAGGAGGACGAGGAGCACGACGCCAGCGCCGACAACGACACCCCTCGCAGTGGCGGCCCCGATCCTCGGCAGACGGCCGCTCGCGCTTCGGGGCCTCCACCAGCAGCGGCGCCTTCCAGCGGGCCGCGTCGGAGGCTCTTCCATTATCCCTCCCTCCTCCTCTCTCCTCCTCCTCCTTCTCAACTCTTCCTCCTCTTCTCCTTCTTTCCTCTCTTCCTCCATCCTCCTCCTTCCTCCCTCTCCTCCTCCTCCTCCTCCACCCCTTCTTCTCCCTCCTCCTCCTCCTCCTCCTTCTCCCTCTCCTCCTCCTCCTCCTCCTATCCTCCTCCCCTCCTCTCCTCCCCCTCCCCTCCTCATCTTACTCCTCCTCCTCCTCTCCTTCTTCTCTCCCCTCTTCCTCATCCTCCTCCTCTCCTCCTCCTCCTCCTCCTCATCCTCTCCTCCCCTCCATCCTCCTCCCTCCGTCCTCCTCCTCCTCCTCCTCCTCCTCCTCCTCTCCTCCTCTCCTCCTCCTCCTCCTCCTCCTCCTCCTCCCTCCTACTCCCTCCTCGTTCTTTTCCTCTTCCTCCTCCTCCTCCTCCTCCTCCTCCTCCTTCCTCCTCCTCCTCCTTTTCCGCCTCCTCCCCCCCCTCCTCGGCTTTCGGAGCTGCGGACCGTTCTGGCTCGTAGGAGCCTGGAGCCCTCGACCCCCCCGGCGCCGCAAGGCTTCTGCGGGCTGGGGAGGTAAAATACGGGCCGCTTGCGGCCGCCGGATGGTTAGTGGGGGCGGTACCCCGTAGGGAGACTGACCAGGGGACGACACGAGGGGGAGCAACAGGAAGACAAGACGAGCGGGGAGGAGCGGAGGAAGGACCGGCAGGAGCAGCAGGCACGACGGAGCGAGGCGAGAGGAGCGGGGAAGGGACCCCCCCAAGCCCAGTACGGCCAACGCAGCATTCCCTGACGAGAGCGGGAGGGGAGGGCGGCGGGGGAGGGGGGGAGAGACAAGTAGGCTGCGTGGGCCAATCTGGCCACGGGGTCTCCTCCCAACCTCCTACCCCTCCATCCCCACCACCATCCGTTCCCGCCCCACGGGGCGGCACTTGGCGGGCGCGCGCTGGCCTCAGCGCCTCGGCAAGTGCGGTCGAGCCGCCTTGCTCGAGGTGGCCATGATCTCTCGGGCCAGGCTCTCACGATGATCGTGGAAGCTTTACGCCGACGGCGTAAACATGGATATTAGCATGCATAGCTTACAGTAGCAGGGCGTCGACCACGGCGGCTGCGGCAGCACGCTGTCTAGCGCGTCTGCGGAGGAGGAGGAGGAGGAAGAGGAGGAGGAGGAGGAGGAGGAGGAGGAGGAGGAGGAGGAGGAGGAGGAGGAGGAGGAGGAGGAGAAGAGGAGGAGGAGGAGGAGGAGGAGGAGGAGGAGGAGGAGAGAGGAGGAGGAGAGGAAGAGGATAACTAGGACATAAGAAGGAGGATAAGCAGAGGAGGAGGAGGAGGAGGAGAGGAGGAGAGGAGGAGGAGGAGAGAGGAGGAGGAGGAGGAGGGGGGGGGTTGGAGGAGGAAGAGGAAGAGGAGAAGGAGAGGAGGAGGAGCGGAGGAGGAGGAGGAGGAGGAGGAGGAGGGGGAGGAGGAAGGAGGGAGGAGGAGGGGGGGATGGAGATGAAGATGAGGAGGAGGAGGATGAGGAGGAGGATGGGGGAGGAGGAGGATGAGGAGAAGGAGGACATTCGAGGACATTCGAGCGAGGGGCTCCGCGGTCGACTCGGCCGCCGCGGCCCCCGCCCGCGCAGGCCGCGCGGGCTCTCAGGGGTCGCGACCCCACCCCCTGAGCAGGGCGGGCGTCCACCCCACTGGCACTCCAGGCCAGAGTATCTCTGCGGGGCCGTAGCCCCGTGCCATGAGGTCAACCACGAGGTCGTCGCCCAGCTGCAACTCGTGGTAGCCGCCCGCCGTTAGGCGGGATCGTCCCATCTGGCCAATTCTGGCCAGCCTTTGGTGGTAATCCTTGTCGTAGCCGGCGAAGTACAGTAGTCCCGCTCTGCGTGATCTTGTTCCTGCACTCCGTCGCCTGTAGGTTCACTCTGCCGTGTCCGTAGTCGTTGTGCGAAGCCACCGCAGCACAATTCCAGCACCAGAACTGCCCATGGGCCACTGCAATGCTGTGGCTGTCGTGGATCACTTTGTCTTTGATCTCACTCAGCTCGTTGTTGGGAACACGGACTGCATGTCCATGATCTGCTCGGTGAGTCTCGTACTGCTTCCCGATGCACACGTTAGCCTTCATCCAGTCGACCACGCTGTACTTGCCTGGGGTTAGCCAACACTCTTGGCATACCCATTGCCCTTTCTTCTTTCGCAATATGTGGCCCGACTCCTTCTCGATCTGATCTCTTCTTTCCTTTGCTATTTTCTTAGGCATCTGCTTGGGCCTCTCAAGCTTGGTGGGGTCCGCATCCTTGCACACCTCGTGGATGATCGCTGCTGCCCGCCTTTGGGCCCTCATAAGTGTAGTCTCCACTTCCACCACCGCCTTGACCTCCTGCCGTATTTCTGCCATTGCCTCTTCTGCTCCTCGCTGCGCCAACGTATCCGCCATCTCATTGCCCATGCTGATGTGGAACTCCTGGCCAGCCTGCTTAACCGATTCGCCGTCGAGGTGGGATAGGCACTTCTGGACACGTACTCCATACACACCGCCAGACCGCCTGCTGAGCATAAGTTTTATCCTTTCCCACCATGGTCGCTGAGCACCTTGGGGCTGCTCGTAATACTTGAGGGTCCAGCCATTCATAACCATCTGGCAGTCCGTGATGATCAATAACGGGCCTCGCGTCAGCGCCAGTGCCCAGAAAAGTCCTGCATGTTCAGCAGCAGGTACACTTTGTTCTCCATCTACGGTGCCATAGAACCCGATATGGTCTGTGTCTTCAATGAAGCCCGTGCTGTCGTTCGGCATGAGGAGAAGGAGGAGGAGGGGGAGGATGAGGGGGGAGGCGGAGGAGGAGGAGGAGGAGCTGGAGGTGGAGGAGCTGGAGGGGGAGGAGGAGGAGGAGGAGGAGGAGGAGGAGGAGGAGGAGGAGGAGGAGGAGGAGAGGAGGAGGAGGAGGAGAGGCGGAGGAGGAGGTGGCGGAGGAGGAAGAGGAGGAGGAGGAGGAGGAGGAGGAGGAGGAGGAGGAGGAGGAGGAGGAGGAGGAGGAGGAGGAGGAGGTGGAGGAGGCGGAGGAGGAGGAGGAGGAGGAGAGGAGGAGGGAGGAGGAGGAGGAGGAGGAGGAGGAGGAGGAGGGGGAGGGGGAGGAGGAGGAGGAGGAGGAGGAGGAGGATGAAGAGGAGGAGAAGGAGGAGGAGGAGGTGAAGGAGGAGGAGAAGGAGGAGGAGGTGGAGGACGAGGAGGAGGAGGAGGTGGACCAGAGTAAACCATCAACGATGTTGACAGATTTTTCAATCGTAAAACACGGAGCTCCTTGCACTACAACGCCGCGAGTCAACCGGATTGTTGCGCCCCGGCATTCCTAAATCGTGACATAACACCGTTCGTGGGACTTGAACACCGCGAATGAGCGTAAATTTGGCATCATGACATTTCTACATTGTCCCAGAGCGCCTTTCTTAGGACTCCAACCGTACGAATCCTTGAACCGCTGCAGAAGTTTCAGACGACTGTGCGCGGCGGCAAGGCGAGAGCCACAGTTTGAAAAAGAGCTGCACTCCATCTTTGAAGCTGCTGGGAGCTTTAAGGCTAATGTGCGCGGCGCTACGGCGAGAGTCGCATGTTGAAACCACCCGCACTCCATCCTTCAAGCTGCGGCCCATATTGAAGACGAGTGTGCACGACCACCATTAAAGCACTTGTGAACTTTTAAAACGAATGTGCGCGGTGCTAAGGCAAAAACCACATTGTGAACACCACCCGCTCTCCATCCTTGAAACTGTTGCAGGCTTCAAGCTTCAGGATCATAAATGGTGAGGAAGTCTCAGGCGAACCGCCCAGCCCGCCCAACGGACACGTCTGGGGGTGCGACAGGGATGGTTATGAATTCCCAAAGAGTGCTTGCAACTAGGGGTTCTTACTTGGTGTCTAAGGGAGCCTGGGTGCCAGTCTGGCGGCCAGCTCCGAGGTCGCCGTCGCCGCGTCGTCGCAGTCTAGTCGCCGCCCGTCGTCTGGGCCTGGGTGCCGTTCTGGCGGCTCCCTTGTCGCTGTCACCGCCGCGTCGCAGCCTAGTCGCCGCCCGTCGTCTGGGCCTGGGTGACGGTCTGGCTGCTGGATAGTCGCCGTTGCCGCCCCGTCGCCGCCATGTCGCCGCCATGGGTTACACAACATAGAGTGCACCGCTCAGATGGCGCCACATAGAGTGCACCGCATTGCACCGCACAGATTGCAGCACATAGACTGCACAGCATGGATTGGACCACATATGCTGCACCACATGGACGACTCAACATACATTGTACCACATAGAGTGCGCAACATACACTGCACTACATGTATCACATAACATAGATTGCATAACACGGGTTGCACCGCATATATTGCCCCACATACAGTGCGCAACATGGATTGCACAGCGCATGTTGCACACCATAGAATGGACAGCACAGATTACGCAACATATCTTGCACCACCATTGCATCATTCTCCTTGTTTCGGATCTACCATCCCCCGTCCCATGGATTATCTGTATCCCCTGGGGCTGTGTAGTTTACACATGTGTCGTCTCCATTGGTTATTGTAAATATGAGTTTATACCATCCAGCCAAGCCGGGCTCGACCTCCCTCATTATCCTCGTCAGACAATCCTATGCTCGCACATTCGTTTATCACAGCTCATTCATGTGCAAGAATCCCTTGCAACAAACTGGACGAAGTGCACACGCGCGTCGTCGCGCGCACATGCCGAACTCTTTCAAAAGTCGTAGGTTGCGCACGGATTTCGACATCGACTGGCCCGACGCGTATTCATAAAAAAGAGGCACATGGTTTTGCAGCACGGGTTTCCACAAAAGGTCTGTGCGCGCTCTTGCGAATTCGTAAGGAAACCCGTGTTTCCCATCTTTTTCATCACATGCGACCAAAGAGCCCCCCCTCGCGCGCGCATGTTGGAATCATTCGAACGCCCTTGCGCGCGTGATTTGGGAGGGGCACGATCCCTGTCAAACCATGCCGTGCGGGCCACTCGCGCCCATCGGCCGCGCGCGCATGTCGAAATCCTTCCAACCCCTTCATGACCGACAGGTGGACACCATCGTCGTCATCGGCGAGATCAGCATCGGTGCCGTAATTGGCCTTGCTGTCGTCATCGTCATCGTCATCGTCGTCACCAGCACCGCTACAATCATCACCGTGTCTGGCGTTGTCGACGTTGCCATGGTACTGCGCCCGCCCGGGTCACCGAGTCGCACCGAAATGCCCGCCCGTCAGTGCGGCATGCGAGATGCGCTGGGAAGTCCCCAGCGGTCAGCGCCACCACGGCCGCGTCGGTCGCGCCAGACTAGCTGGCCGCTCTGCGCGCGAGCCTGCGCGCGCTAGCGCGGCCGCAGCGATGCGCCAGCCAGCGCCACGCAATCATCGCAATCGCCGCCGCATGGTTGTGCAAACCAACTTGCGGGTGGGCAGATGGAATCATTGCTCGAGCAGTGGCGTTGACAGTTTCAAGTGAGGAGGAGGAGGAGGCGGAGGTGGTGGTGGAGGATGAGGAGGAGGATGGGGAGGAGGAGGAGGAGGAGGAGGAGGAGGAGGAGGAGGAGGCGGAGGAGGAAAAACAGGAGGAGGAGGAGGAGGAAGAGGAGGAGGACGGACGAGGCAGAGGGGAAGGTTGGAGGATGGAGGAGTTTAAGGGGAAGAGGAGGGAGAGGACGGGTGGTGGTGGATGCTTAGGAGGAGGAGGAATGAGGAGGCAGGAGCAGCAGCAGGAGGAGGAGGAGGAGAAGGAGGAGAAGGCGGGGGGAGAGGAAGATGAGAGGAGGAGGAGGAGGAGGCGGAGGAGGAGGAGGAGGAGGAGGAATAGGGAGGAGGAGGAGGAGGAAGAGGAGGAGGAGGAGGAGGAGGAGGAGCAGGAGAAGGAGGAGGAGGAGGAGGAGGAGGAGGAGGGAGGAAAACAGGAGAGGAGGAGTGACGAGGAGGAGGGAAGGAGGTTTTGGAGATGTGAGGAGAAGAGAAGAGGAGGAGGAGGAGGAGGAGAGGAGGAGGAGGTGGGTGGATGCTTAGGAGGAGGAGGAGGAGGAGGTAGGAGGAGGAGGAGGATGAGGAGAGCAGCAGGAGAGGAGAGGAGGAGGAGGAGGAGGAGGAGGAGGAGGAGGAGAAGGAGGAGGATGAGGAGGAGACAGAGGAGGAGAGGAGGCCGGGGGAGGAGGACGAGAGCGGAGGAGGAGAGGCGGCAGAGGAGAGGAGAGGAGGAGGAGGAGGAGGAGGAGGAGGAGGAGGAGGAGAGCAGCGAGGAGGAGAGAGGAGGAGGGGAGGAGGAGTGAGGAGGAGGAGGAGGAGGAGGAAGGGGAGGAAGAGGAGGAGGAGGAGGAGGAGGAGGAGGAGGAGAGGAGGAGGAGCAGGAGCAGGAAGCAGGAGGAGGGGACAGGAGGGAAGAGGCGAATAGGGGAGGAGGAAATGAAGGAGGGAAGAGGCGGGGAGAGGAAGGAGGAGGAGGAGGAGGAGGAGGGAGGAGGAGGAGGAGGGAAAGGAGGAGGAGGAGGAGGAGGATGAAGAGGAGGAGGAGGAGGAGGAACAAGGAGGAGGCAGGACGGAGCGAGGAGGCCGCCGCCCTTGAGGCCCTACTGTCGGGCCCGCGGCCCTTCCGCGAGCGGGCGCCGAGGCAGCCTGCTGCTCGTCGCCAACGTCGTCGTCGTCGGCGTCGGCGTTGGCGTCGGCGTCGGCGTCTTCGTCGTCGTCGTGGTCATCGTGGTCGTCGTGGTCCTCAGCGTCGTCGTCTTCGTCGTCGTGTTCGTGAGCGTGGTCGTGGTCGTGGTCGTCATGGTTTTCATCGTGGTCGTGGTCGTGGTCGTGGTCGTCGTCGTTGTCGTCGTCGTCGTTGTTGTACCCGTCGGCGACGTTGTCAACGACTTCAGCGTTGTCGTCTTCCTGGTCGTCGACGTCGTCGTCGTTGTCGTCGCCCGTCTGCACTTCCCGCTCCTGTTCCTGCTTCTCCTGCTTCTCCTGCTGCTGCTCCTCATCTTGCTTCTGCTCCTGCTTCTGCTCCCCTCCCCCGCCTCCCACTCCCCCTTACCACCCGCCCCTTCACGCTTCCCCTGCCACTCTCGCACTGTCTCGCCCTCACCCTTGCCCTCACCCTCACCCTTTCCCTCCCTTCCTCTGTTGACGACGTCGTCGTCGACGGCTGCGAAGACGACGGCGATGCCCACAATGATGGCAGCGGCGACGACGTCGGCGGCGGCTCCCAGGAAGCGCTTCGGCCCCTCGGGCATGCTGCCGCGGCGGGACCAGTCGACCTACCGGGTGGCTCTCACGACCTGACTTGCCGAGTCCGCTCTTGCTTGTGACTGCCGCTCCGTCCTTCTCCTTGTCCTACTCCCTCTGCTCCTCCCCCTCCTACAGTGGAAATCCATGCCAAGAAGCCCCCTGCTTGTCTCGAGGGTGCCCTGGGTTTCTTGAAAAACGTGACGTTCCTGCACCAAAAATCAATGGACGTCCTGGGGTCTCAGGGTTGTTTTTTTTCTGGAAGGCTTCTTGTGGTCGAGCTCCTACTGTACTCCGTCCTTCCCGCAAATTCTCTCGATTCCCTCCTCTCCCTCCAGTTCTTCTTGTCGTTCTTCCCCCTTCCCCTCCGAGAAGGAGGCCCCGAGCCGCGAGGCCTCCTCCTCTTCGTTTTCTCATCCCTCTTTCGTCCTCTCCTCCTTACTCCAACCTCCCTCTTCTCTCCTTCCCTCTCTCTCCACCCACCATCCTCCTTCTCTCCTCCCCTCCTACGCTCCCTTTCCTTGCTCCTTCTCCTCGCTTCTCGCTCCTCGCTCTTCGCTCCTCGCTCTCCCTCCTCCTCGCTCCTCGCTCCTCACTCTCCCTCCTCCTCCTCCTCCTCCTCCTCCTCTTCCTCCTCCTCCTCCTCCTCCTCCTCCTCCTCCTCCTCCTCTCCTCCTTCCTCCTCCTCTCCTCTCTCCTCCTCCTCCTCCTCCCCCTCCCCTCCTCCTCCTCCTCCTCCTCCTCCTCCTCCTCCTCCTCTCCCTCCTCGTCCTCCTCCTCCTCCTCGTCGTCCTCCTCCTCCTCCTCATCTTCCCCGTCGTCGTCTCCCTCCTGCTCTTGACGACCCGACGTGTAGAGGCCTTGCTCGCCGCTGTGACCGGCCCTCCCCCTCTCACCCTCGGACTGACCTGCTGTAGGGCGGCCCAGGCCCGCCGGAAACGAGGGCGCGCGCTGGGGGGGGGAAGGAACAGGAGGAAGGATCCATTGCCGACGGAGGCAATGGAGGAGGAAGAAAGGAGGAGGAGGAGGAGGAGGAGGAGGAGGAGGAAGAAAGGAGGAGGAGGAGGCGGAGGAGGAGGAGGAAGGATGAGGAGGACTTTGAGGGCGGAGGAGGGTCCATTCAAAGATTCGACCGAGCAGCTCCGTTGCAGGTGGTGCCCCAGAGACCTCAGGAGGCTCAGGTCCGATGCTAGCCGCGCGCACGGCAGCGGGGAATGTTTGACCCCCACGAGTGCACCCGAAGACCGGCTCGACTGGCCAGCTCCGCTCGTAGCTGGCTGCCCGCTCTTGGCAGCAAGCTCGCCACGACTCTGCATCGCCACCTTGACGGCCAGCGGAGGGCCCTCTCAACTGGGGTAGGGGCCCCTGGCCAGACGGGGGAGGTTTTCCGCGCCCTTGCGCGCCCTCGGAAGACACTGTGAAATAGGATGACGGGAGCTCCTCTTTGCAAGGTGACCGCAGGCGTGACAGGAAGTCAGGGAATGCTGCTTCACCCTCCCGAGCGTATGAGAGGGGTGGACCCCGTCTCCCTGCAAGTTAAGACCAACGCCCCCAGCGACACAGGCAGCCGGGGGGAGGCTCGGCACAAGCAGCAGGAGGAGCAGGGGACGGAGGAGGGAGGCACTGACTCACGCACTGAGCCAGGGCCCCAGAATTTGGGGAGGTCATGTGGCAGACGTCGCAGGTCCACGTCTTGCCTCTCTGCTGGAGGCTGTGGGGCGAGGCGGAGACCGCACGGGCCAGACGGGCCCTGGGCACCACTTGGATGAGCACCTCAAGGCGGTCCGCCTGTGAAGCAATGTCAGCAGCCGCAGCATCGATCATCGCGCGTCCTGCACGCTGTCTGACCATTGCAGCGGCGGAGTCGACTTCGTCGGTCCGAGGCACGGTCCCCACCATCCCGCGCTCCCACGCCAACTCCGCTGTCCTCCCCGCCCAAATATCCGCAGCCATGCTGCCGATGGCAGTGACGGCTTCCTACTCACTCGCAAAAGAGTCGTCGGTGTGCGACGGAGTCCATCGAACTCTAATTTTTCGAAGCCCAGAACCTGGCAAGAACGGCAAGGTCGGTTACAAACTCGACGCTTCCCGAGGTCCGCTCAAGCATCGCACAGCAAGCTAACAGTTCGGCCCTCGGGACACTCTGCTTGGGGCCTACCTGCGGCACCGCGACCCGCGACAGCGGCATCGGGTGCCCGTTGGGGCCCAGGGCTGGAGCAACACAGGCCAGCCCCCACAGTGCATCCGATGAGGATTCGAAGAATGCTTCCCTCCCGGCCCGTCCCTGTACACCACCGCCCACCCCTCGGGGGTCCCCAAACGGGGTGGTGACCACACCGTTCGGCGAGTCGGTGGGGATTTGGGGTCACCGCACGGTTTTGGGACTCGAGTCCCCCTCCGAGGATGTCTCGGGCGACAGGGGCCTCCAGGGTCCCAAGACCGTGCGGTGAGGTCTCTTTGGGTTCCGAGGTCACCCCACGGTCTGTCACCGCACCGCTTCGGGACTCCAAACCTTCCCCACACTCAGAGAAGGCATCTGGCGGAGACAGCTCGAGTCCCGCCAGCATCGCCGCATCAAAGCCTGGATTGGTCATGCGGAGTGGCGGCGCCCCTCTCAGCCACAACAGTGAGCTGCCTCCTGTGCTGGGCGAGAGCTGCCAGGACCTAAGACTTGGACCAAGCATAGTCGTCGTGGTCCTTCTTGCATTCGCACTGCTGGGCACGATGCGCCAGCGACTCTGGGGCACGCTTGCAGCGCGGGCCACAAACAGAAGCGAGCTTATATCCGTGAGCCGCCCCACGCCGCCCCGTCCACTAGCCGCCTGAGACCGCCGTAAGGGTGGTGCCGTGCACGTCATGTTGTTGCCTCTCCTGACTGCGCTCGAGCTCGCGCACGGTGTGGCAGAAGTCGCCTCCAGACTCCAATCTGGCGGCGTTCTCATGCTCGGCAGCCGCACGCCACAGGCGCTCTCGTACATCCTCAGCCAAAGCATCGAGCAGCTCGGTACTGGGTCCAACATGCTGGAGCTTCCCACCAGCAGCAGGGATTCTCCACGCATCGACTCCCCCAGGCGTAGGAAGTGTCCACGTGCACGCGGTGTGGGGGTCCCAGCCGACATCCATCAGGATCGCGATGAGGGCGGAGACGGGTCCTCTGGCGAAGGACCACCTCCCCGACTCGGCCTCCTCCCCGACTCGGCCTTGACCAATCTGGACCTGCTCGTTGCCCAAAACAACAGGACACGTCTACGCAGAGACGGTTGAGCCTGCCATAATTAACCATACCCTTTACAAGCCTGGCTGCCGTCTCAACTTCATTCCAGGTTCTTTAAGTCTGAAAGATGCCGCCAACGTGCTGGCCAGGCAGCGCCACGCCTGATCACCCGCAACAGCCGGCTGAGCCCTGGCTGAGCCAGGGGCGACAGGTTGTGCACCCGGTGCCCGCAGATCGCCTGCGGGCGAGCTCCAGTGGCTTAGAGTGCTGAGCGTTAAAGCCCCAAGAGCCGTAGCACGTCGGAGCCTCCTGATACGCCCAGCTGGCCCCTTTGACCTGATGCGTCTGCTGACCGACTTGGCACAAACGCGCCGTCTCGCAGCATCTGCACCAATCCCGAGATCAACTGCCTGCTTGATGCACTTGGTTGGGACTCCTCTCGCCCTGAGACGCCGTGCCGACGTCGCTGCCAGCTTGCCCGAGGAGGCCAAGATCACGGACTTCGGGCGCGCAATGAGACGCTGCTCCGAGAGGTTCTCCGCCAGCGTGACACCGACGTCGTCGATCAATGGCAGCACCTGTTTCGCCGTGCCCTCGCATCTTCCACCGTCTCATCAATAAACGTCCGGAGCCCCGCTGACGGGGCCATCGCGTGCACCGTCTCCAAGATGTGGTAGAGCGCAAGCTTGGAGAAGGGGGCCCCGTGGGAGGAGCCAGCGACTATGCCCCTGTTAGGGTAGAGGGCATCACTGAGCCATCCTCGTTCTCGAGTGTTGCGCGGGTGCAGGTCGACCTGAGCCTCGATGTTTTTCGCGGTCCTGGAGGATCTCGCGCAGGCCACGCAAGCTTGCCACAGAGAGGCGGTCGAGATCGTCAGATCCAAGCCCATCCATTCCGCGCGCCTTCGTTTTTCCCCTGGCTCGTAGTGCTCCCGCCAGCTGCTCCACCGCAAGGTCAGGGATGTACTCCTTAGCAGCTCGACGGCACACCTCCTCCAATATACGAACCAGCTCCTCGAAAGTATCCGTTACGTCCGTCCAAATGGCCCCCTATTCAACAGACTTGCGAGACATGATGGTGACGGGGTCCGCCGCTGACGACACCGTAATGATCGTGTGGGTGACTGCAGTGGAGCCGTCCTCAGGTCGCGGGGAATGCGGGTCCTTGACCTGGCAGCGGAGGGCTCCTGGCGAGGTCTGCCAAGCCCTGCGCACCCTGCGGGACCGACCGATCCTTCGAGCCATCTCGCACGCTGCCACCGCCTCAACTGCTGCCGCGACCTGGCAGGGACCTGATACGGTGGGGTCACAGGTCAGCTGGTCGCAGCCTGTCCGCATGGCCTGCAGGTAGTCGATGGCCACTTCGGCCCTCGACAAAATATCTGGCCTCTGATCCGAGTGGTAGCGTCTCAAGAAGGAAGCCTTACCAGCCGCCTGACTCAGCACCCTGCACACTGGGTGCGCATCCCTGCCGCGCAGGAAGAGGCCCAGACAGCGCCTGCACAAAGTATCAAAGATCGGCCGATGCTCGGCACCATCGTACTTCCAATCAGCACGCCCAGGTGATGCGACGGATTTCCTCCACGTGACCCCGAAGTCTTGCTGCGGCCGCCTCACACCCTGCGCTCCTCCTCAGGCAAGTCAGGGTTCAACAAGGAGGCCGTCGCCTGAAAACCCCATTTGCCATAGTGAACGGACAGATGCTGGCGCCCTCGAAGACTCCAGCCCAGCAACGGAGACTGCGCGATGGCGGTGAGCTCCTCTGTGTACTCGAAACCCTCGCGGTAGCCTTTGTTCGCCTACCAGCGCTCTAGTCAGACAACGTCGTTCATCTTCTGCTGCTGGTGAGGTGCTTGCTGCACCACGCCCTGCAGACCCTCGATTGCCTCCTGGTGGTCCATTGGCAGTGCCTCTTCCTCCTTTTCGTAGCAGCCTGCCTACGCATGAAGGACTTGCTGGCGGGGCAGTGGGCCTGCTTGGGCCGCTACAGAGACAGCGGCACTTCGGGAAGGACCCGTGCACGATGCCACCAGACCTGCGACGCCCCCATAATACCGACGCGCAGGCCGCAGTGGACCTTCCACGGGACTACCGTGACGCCCCTGATCGTGATCACCTCAGCCATTCCAGCTGATGCCACGACGCTGTTGATGAGCGAACTCCATCCCTTGCCGCACGCGACCCTCACATCTGGGCGGACGATCGCGCCCCCGATGTCGCTGAGGACGGCGCCTCGCTTCAACGCGCGGGGCTCGAGGTTCCAGCCAGCAGCGATGCGCCGGAGGTCCGATGCCGAGGCCAAGAAGGCCCGCAGTGACGCCCATCCCTCAGACCTGGCTTCTGCAACTCCATGTTTCGGTATATTGTATGCAGGAGTGACGATGGGGTCGCCTGCTTCGAGTTCGTCGGTGCCCATCCTCGGCAGACGTCTTGGTCCTATTCCTCCACCAGTAGGGCCCGTTATCTCGGTGGCTAGATGCGAGCGCGAGAAGGTCCGCTCTCCTCCACCGCTGCCTTCCTCAGAACGGCCTGTGTCCACGGCTAGGCAAGCTGCCGACTTCCACCCATCAGCATCCAAACTTCTACGACCTTGTGGCAGACGGTCCTCCGCGACATGCGCTTCCGAAAAAAGCCATCATGCCATGCTGCAGCTTGTATCCCATCAGGAACTCGTGTGCACGCGGGTGCCTCCTCCCGGCCTCGTTCTGAGGCTGCGCCCCCCCTTTT